TCTATCTATCTATCTATCTATCTATCTATCTATCTATCTATCTATCTGCATTTCTTTGATCTACAATACAGTAAAAACAGTAATATTGTATGATATTATTAAAAAATAAAACAACTGTTTTCTATTTTAACATATTTTAAAATTTAATGTATTATTATGATGGCAAAGCTGTATATTCAGCATCATTACTCCTGTACAGTAATCCTGTAAACATGATCCTTCAGAAATCATTCTAAAATGCTGATTTTGGTGCTCAAGAAAAATTTATTATTATCAAAGTTAAGTTGGTCTGTTTAATATTTACAATACCTTTTTCAGGATTCTTTGATGGAAAGAAAGTTCAAAACAGCAGCATTTATTTTAAATAAAAATCTTTTGTGATATTATAAATGTCCTTATTGTCTTTGATAAATGTAAAGTGCCCTTGCTGAATAAAATGATTAATAAATAAAAAATATCAGATTGTCATCCTGTTATAAAAAACACGAAATATTTTCTACTGTCTAAATACTCTCTTCTGTTATCATTTACTCACCTTCATGTCATTCCATAACAACTTCATTTCTTCTGTGGAACACAAACAGAAAAATATATTTTAAAAGACTTTCATTGTACGGACATAACAAGTATTAAACACATCCTTATTTTGTGTTCAAAGGAAAGTAAGAAAAAGAAAGTATGGTTGGATGAGTTACACTCCCACCATTTGTGTGTAAAGGCCTATACCCTATATGTAGGCTATAGGTTATTATTATAAATTGTAAGCAATGTAAAATGAATTTTTGTTCATGGACAAAATACTCCTTACTGCTTTCCCCCTTTTATTTCTACTTCTGTTTTGGGGGACAAATGAAGTTCGATTGATGACGGCGTGTTAAGCGTACAGTCTGTCTCTTGTCAGGACAATCCGTTCTGACAGAGCCCATCCGTTTACAGTTGCTAGCTATTGATCTGGTTTTCAACACATCACACCAGGCAGTTTCCTGCAGCATGCTAACAAAAACACTCAGGTACGATCAAAAAGCCCCACACGACACGCGAGAGCTCATCGGCACCCAGCGGAAAGCCGCGTCTTCCCACACGCTCGTGCGTACGCTCTTTGGAGACGGCTAGTTTCTGAGAGAGTAAAGGGGCTTTTGCGTCTGAAGAAATCAGCCAGAGCTTGCATTAAGGTAGATGAAATCTTATGATGTGTGGTGGGTGAATGTTTGTTTGTGTCATTAAGAAGCAGAATGCAAACAGCGTGAACTTGCCGTGTGTACTGTCTGAGGAAAGTCAAGATTAAGGGATGTTCAGAGACCTTCGTCTGTCAAAACTTCAAAGTTGCCATAGGCTCTCCTTGTTCTGGCGGCGTAGCAACCAAATCGCAAAAACTCAGCAGCCTCTGAGGCTGTCAGAGGCCTCCTGACACCCCCTTTATCAGGTGTACAGAGCTTTAATGCTATCCTTGAGAAATAAACCAAAACTGCTGGGAACACTGGCGCCCCCTTTTTGGTTACTAGTAGCCTACAACGCTACTAAACTAATGCCGAGTTCACACTGAACGATTTAAGGCCCGATTTTCGCTCGGCGACAGGTTTTTGTCCCGCCCTCGTGCCAGTAAACACATCATCAGAGGGAGGAGAAATATATTTTAATTAAAGATTATGAAGGATAATAGTGTAATATAATAATAGTGTTCGGATAAATCATTTATAGCTAATACTGCAATATTGCATAAAAAATAAAATTCAATTTGGCAGCTCTTGTTAGTAGCTTCAAGCTTGTAGTGTAGCAAACTACTTTTTTTTAAGGTATAGCTACTTTAATTTTTACCTTCTTTAATTTTTGAAAAGCTTAGCTTATATCTTAGCAAGCTATACAACACAAATAACTTGCAACAAGTACTGAGGCTGCAAGTTTTTATATAGCTACCTGTTTAATTAAACTATTCTCATTGTCAGAGACAAACTGAATCAAATCCTCCATTTGAATCACCTGGGGGGCTCATTGCATGCATGTCTTGCAGCGCAGGATGAAATGGCCCGGGATGAGCTTGTGCAAACAGTGCTGTCATGTTGCCTTTTCTTCACTGACAGATCAGATGCATTGTGAGAATGGAAGAAAACATCTGGAGGAGACAGATGGAAGAAACGAGAGAGAAAAGAGGCAGATAAATACAACCAGCTCTGTTTGGTGGACCCATTCAGACCACGCTAAGGATTTTGCTGTCTTCCATTCAAAACGCACACATGGGACAGGACAGAGAATACATTCCACAAATGCATCTTTTAAATGAGAAACAAAAGACAAGAGGTAAGACAGCAAAATAATATGCAGCATCATAAGTGAAGTCCCATAAGTCTCCTCCTCTCTTCACTGTTAGGGTGAAAAGAAACGTCTCTGAAATATGTTTTTGGATTCTGCGTTGATACGTTTTGTTTCATTTCTGATTTGCTCTGTGCAGGCGAAGGGATAAGAAGCTGTTTACATTTGAAGCGGAGATCTGTCTGGCGGATTTTCGCAACGAACAGCAATCTCGCACAACAAAACTAGTCCCTTTCAGAATGCAAAAGTAGCCCAATCCCATTTTAGAAGCGACGGCACTGAGTTTATATGCTGATGATAGCTGCACTTCCTCCTATAGATCTACGAGTGCAAATATAAAGGAGAAAAGGGGAGGGGGGGGGGGGGGGGGGGGGGGGGGGGGGGGGGGGGTATCTGGATAAGTAATTTCAGAAAGGGGCCACAAAAAAAGGAAAGGCAAATTAATTTTATTTCCTTTAGAAAAGTGTGGTATACCAAGGGGGTCCCTGTAACTTGTGAAAAATTAAAAGAGACGGATTCAAACTGTCCAATTTCCACATCAAACAAACGTTGGCTCTCTGCTCCTGGAGAAAGTGCTTCAGCACACAGCCCTCCCCCATCCCAAACCCGCTCAGCTCTCCAACCTGAACCACCAACACATTTTCTGAACACTCGCAGTATTCTCGGTTTCCTTATTAATCCCACTCTCTAATTCCCATAAGCACTGTACTGGTTACACTAGCCACTGTCTCTCCCCTGTCTAATTATACCCTTGTGAGTCTATTAATCAACCTGTGAATTATTTAAGAAGGAGAAATCTTCTGTCTGTAACTGACTTTGACAGAGGGAGGGGAGGGGGGAGGGGGGAGGGGGGGGGGGGGGGGCAAGGGAGGGCCAAGGTAGAGGATGGAGAGAGAGAGAGAGAGCATAGTATGGAGGGGGTAGGAGAAAAGAGAAAGAGAAATACGGAATGAGGGTCTACCGTCCTGGTGCGTCCCTGAGGACTGAAGCTGGTGCAAGTCTCTGGCACTGAAACGAGGCAGATCCTCGTCAAAATACACTTTATGTTTGTTTTTTTACCCTCAATCCGCATAAGTTTTCATCACAAACATGAATTCATGAATATATGTAGCAGTACAGAATAAAGAGGGTTGGGAACAGGAGGGAACATAGAGAAGGAGAGAAATGAAGGCAAAGAAGTGAAATTTATATTACGGGGGAATTTACACTTTCCGGTGTTTGACATCTAGACTCTCTTGTCCCCATTATCCAGGCATTATGGTAATGGTTAGTGTTTCTTACCACGTTGCTGTGTGTATACTCATGAGCTAAGAGGAAGAGGGCGAGTTTAATGATTCCCGTTGCCGCTACCGTCCACGCTGAGCCGATCAGGGCCGGAAGAAGCCGCTTTTAAAGTAAGATCACCATTATTTTTCCATGCGAGGTGCTCTCCGTTAGCCCCTGCAAAGTGCCTGCCAATCTCAGAATAGTAATAAATGAGGTATTAGATAAATAAATAAGACGGCCCACATCATTCTGGAATATGAGATGTTAAAGAGCCTGTGTGTCAAAGGTTGTGTGGATACGTCTGTTGGCGTTGTCTCCTTTATGAGCGTCGGGTTAAAGTAAGCTCCTCTCATTAGGATCCGAGCAGCGCTGCTGTCGGTGGCTGAAGCTCACCGCTCTCTGCGGGATGTTTATTAAATTAATAAAAAGTAGCTTGCGGCGAACGGAACACAGGAAAGCCCCGGGTACAGCTGTGATTGGCACCCTCGGCTGGCCCGCGCTCTCTCAGGAGGCCAACGGAATTTGCTTTAACTAACCGGCCGTGACTGAGGGCGCAAGCTGACATGCATGTCTCTCTCTCTCGCTCTTTGGTTCTCATACCTCTTTCATTGTGAAAGGCCTCAGAATGCACTGGGAAGGCACAGTGACATTCGAGGGAAAGAGAGTGGCACGTGTTGAGTGAGAGTGTATTATAAAAACAGAAAAAAGTTGAACGAGAGCATTGAGTGTAAATAGAAGATGCTGATTGGTCAAAAACAGAGGAACAAACACAGGAACGAGGTTTCTCTAATGTCAACGGAACATTAATTCCACTTGAAGTCAGTGTCGAAGGAAACTCTGCAACCTGCATTATGTCTCGGCAGAAATTACTCAATGCAGGGGGCCGCATAAAGTTGCTGGGAAAAGTATGTGATCCCTTTGAATTTGCCAGGATTGTACTTAAAAAATTTGATTTGAACTAAGTCACAACAATAGACACAGACAATCTGCTCACCTGAACTATCCCATGTCGTTCCAAATCTTTATACCATTCTTTCTTCAGGGGATCAAGAAGATATTTTGAAAAATGTATACATTTGTTTTGGACCCCATTGATTTTCATTGTATGGAAATCATTTAAACATTCTTCAAAATATATTCTTTTGTGTTCCACAGAAGAAAGAAGGTCATTTAGAACAACATGAGGGTGAGTAAATATAATGAGAGTATTTATAGTTTAGGGTCATGCTAAATCATTGGGCTGAGATCAGTACAGGGAAACACAGTGCCTTTTTCTGCAACTGCACTTAAAATCCTGCAAGAAAATCAGCATGAAATGGTTTTAATGAAATATAAACACTGACATGCACAGAAGTCCTGATTAGATGAATTGCAATTAGTCACACTATGATATTTACTACTATCCTTTTAGTGCAAAAAGTGTGTACCTTCCTTTCACTGGGGATCCCGTCTTAGGAGCATCTTCAAACAGACAGCATTAGCGTAATTCTCCTGAAAGACAAATTATGAAATGTATAATCAACTACTTTAATTGTTTTCAAAATAAACAATAACATAATCCAGACAATGGGCCTACTGCTCTCAAAGGAGAGAAGACAAGGGGGGTCTATTTGCATGTTAACTTTTCACAGAATCGTCATAGGCGGTATATAAGACAAAGATTTTCATGCAGCAGATTTTCATGTGCAAATTTCAGCTGCATGTTTGTACCCAACACATTATTATTTCATCAGCGGCCCTCACGGGACTCCGCGGTACGTTATTCTTGCATCCCCGTGGAAGCGTCAAGTCTCTGGCCTCCTTTAGGACCTCTTGAGTGTGTTTACTCTCAGTTGAAGACTGAGCGGGCCACAATTTTGCAAAGAGAGAACCCATTAAATGCTAAGACACCAGTTGTGACCAGTGTTAGCCGTGTTAGCCATGGTAATTGCATGTACACTGTCCAAGTTGACACTTGCTGGCTCTCAAGTCAACCGTTACAGTCAATTAGCAGGCCTTAGCAAATGCTTTGAGGTGTGGGAACAAGTTCTCATAAACTGGAACAGTCATGAGGAAAAACAGTATCCTGGTTGGCAGCACGATTGGCCATATTTGTTTTGGGGGTTTTTTTTGGGGGGGGGGGGGAAGCTATTTCGAGCCTTTTAAACCCTTAACAAACTGAGACAAACAAATCCAAACAGCAGCAAATGCACAGAGCAAAACACACTCATTAATACAGAAAGCGAGAGCAATGAGCCAAACAAAGAGGCCCTGATAAAAGTGAATACATGCATCCAGATTGACTGTACTCTAACTCTGGCAAACATACTTTTCCACAGGCTGAGAATATGAAATTGTGCTCCCAAAATGATTTGATCAGCGGTGCTTTCAAAAGAGACAAAGATTAGATGTCAGTTATCAATGTTAAAAAAAATATATTTTTGAAATAAAAACTTGTTATTTTGTCAGACATGCTGCTTTTTAAGCAGCTAAAAAGAATAAAAATGTTACCAAACTATTATTTAAAAAAACAAGATTATTTTTGCAAAATTGTGTAAATTGTGTTTTGATAAAGTGTTTGTCTCTCTGTGAAACTGATCATGTCATAACAACGTTAAGACACTTCTTCTTTTTGTTGGCTTAATGCAAATGCAAGGACTATTCCACATACACTTCTGTTCACAAGTTTGTATCAGTAAGATTTTTTATGTTTTTGAAATTATTTTAAAATATTATTACCTTTTAAAATGACCATTTTAAAAGGTAATCACCAGTGGAAAGAAAAATGGTTTGTAATTCAGAGAGACCGGTGTATCTAACAAAAACTTCTCTAATGACCCAACTTACATCTGTTTTATGACAGACATAGTAAATCTATAATATAAACTGCGTGTAAACAACTTGACTTCAAACACTGTTGGATAAATCCAGTCTTGTGATAAAGCTTGCTGACTTGTTCACTTATCCAGAGCCTTGAAGAGAGTAGCGACTAATCTCTGTCTGCTAAAGGGCACAGCTCTGGGGAAAAGTTCCCCCTGTTCCAGTTTACCATTTTTACAGCAGCTTCTGCATCTTCTCAAAGACTTTGAAGTTAGTGCACTTATTTAAATTTTTGGTCTTTTGCAACTTTTATTGACAGCGACAGCACAGATGACTATGCCACGGCTCCAACTAACACATATTTTATCATTTAATATTAGTTCAACAGTATTGTATCTTAGGGATGATTAAGTTATTAGAGACAGTTGATCCAAAAATGAAAATTTAGTATTTTTTCTGATGTTTTGGACTCCACTGACTTTCATTGTATGGATAAAAACAGTTTAAACATTCTTCCAAAAATTTTGTTTCTGTTCCAAAGAAGAAAGTAAGTCCCACAGGACTGGAATGGCATGGAAACTAAGAATAAATTTAGAGATTGACATTAAGTTTGACAGTAGTGCAATAAAAGTATAAAAATGATGATATAATTTTTACAAATGACAACAAGTTTCTGTTGATATGAAAAATTGTGTACATTTAGCAACATAGCAGGTGAATTATGTATATGCAGTGGCGGCTCCAGACAATTTTGATTGGGGGGGCAATGGGGGGTCCTGGTCATTTCAAGGGGGGTCTCATGAAAACCAACAAAAAATACAGTGGACACGGCTAATAACTGCATATTGCTGCTACTTAACAAATGGTAAATGGTAAATTGACTGCATTTATATAGCGCTTTCACAGACCCAATGGCCACCAAAGCGCTTTACATATTGCCTCACATTCACCCATTCACACACCGACGGTTTTTTGTTTTTAATTAATTAATCAATTGCAGTTTGCAAACAATATGCTCAAACTTTAATTGCCATAGCCACACCCATGACAGAAAACATATTTACAAAATAGTATCCTCCTCATCCTCCAATTCCTCGGTGTCCTCTGTTTCCAGTCTATACTAAGAATTCCTATGAAAAATTATTTACAAAATCTTCTGCAGGACAGTTCAATTCTTTACAATAATATAATATATTATAAAAGAAAATTAAGCTGTTACACTGAGATGGTTTAGGAAATCCATAAAGTGTTTTTGTACAGTCAATTAATTGTACAGGCAGCATTAAACCATCAAAGTTAAATGATTGTTTATAGCTTATGAATTTCCTAGCCTATATTTTCTTTAGCAGGGGGTTTCAAACTTTTTAATGGCAGTGAGCCCTAAACAATACCCTTGTGAGATTCTTTATTTAGGCTTATAATATAATAAAATATATGCCCAATATAATATAATATAAAAAAATGAATTGAAGTATTTGAAGTGATAGTTTAAATGCTTCAATTTGTTTTCATATTATATTATTATAATATGAAAACAAACTGAAGCATTTACTGTAAATAGCTAGATCTAATAGCTAAATATTTTCAAGAAAAGTCAATATGTGAACTCTTTTATAGTAGCCTAATCTAACCATGCCTGAAACTATTTAAATCTATGTAAACTAATGATGTATTTTGAGTTTGCACGCGGGTGGGTGTGTAATTGTTACCATTCTGTGTCCATCATCCGTTATTTCCACCACTTTAATCAAACCACTCTTCTTTAAAACATGATATTGTGATTTTATTTCAAATGTCTTTGCGTTTCTCGTCGCCTCTCGTATTGAGATATTTGGTCCGCACACACGACTCACTGCCAATCACACGCGCTCACATCATTCTCTTTCTTTGAAACATGTTAACTGCACTCACCAGTTTGAGCACTGCAATTATTTCTCACATTCAATCAAATGGATTTCCCCACACATTTCGCGTCAGTCCTCCGCGTGGCATATTATTCTTTTCTGCGCGGCCGCGGCATCAGAAGTGCACGACCGCGCACGCGCGCAGCTTAGAGGGAACGTGATTCTTATGTTTATATATTTTGTATGTCGAATAAATTATTAATTATTATTGTTCTGCGTAGTTTGAAGATAAACATTTTTAAATATTTATCCCGGATATATATTTTTTTTAATCAGGAAGGGGGTGGGGGGTCAAATGGGGGGTCAAAGCATTTTTTGGGAGGGTCTTGAGACCCCCCAAGACCCCCCCTGGCGCCGCCTCTGTGTATATGATGTATATTATGATGAACTATATTATGCCTTTCCCCACTGACGTTTTAAGTTGCTGATGCTGATTGTTAAAAGGCTGTCTGACTCTGTGATGGCGAACGGGAACATGGTTTGTAACATTAGCACCACATTATTAGCTGTTTGATAACGTAGTCAAGCAAAAGGCTGCTAATCATATTCATTACCATTATGTGTCCGACGTTGGAGAGAGCGATACATAAAAAGCATTACCATTCTGATACATCGACTTGTAGACAAGCCTGAATAATTCACTCTTCTACTTCTTCTGAATCAGTTTACCGTTTACCAGTATTTCCACTTGCCATTGTGCAGCGTTTACTACAGTAAAGTTAAGTGAGTGGATCCCTGAGCTGGTGTGAGTGAGTGGAGATGGGGCTAATTTGCATATTCATGGGTCCACATATACTAAATGAAGCAAAGTAACAGGGTTTAGTTTTTGGGTTTAGTGTAAATATTTGATAAAGCTTTGCACAGGCATGGTCGGTAAGCAATTCTTTCACACCAGTCTAATGCTAACATGTGTAATGTGCTAAAGTGCTTTGGTTACTTTCAAAACAGTATTATAGTTGCATATTTTATTTATTTGCAGTGCTGCACACTTGCCCGCTAGGCATCCATATTAAGTATTACTGTAAACATGTTATTCATTTGTTTGTTTGTTTTTGTCAAAATGTTCAGGGTCAATCAACAGTATGCTCCTGTCAATAGATTTTAAATTGTACATGACCTAGGATAATCTGGGAGAAACAACAGTACATTTCGGTTACCTTTTTCTCTGGCTCTCACAACCTTTGAAAAAAATTCAACAGTTGCCCTTCTTTAACACAATGTCCTTTGCCTTTGGTGCGCATCTTAATGACAACTAATGAGTACCTTGTTAAGCTTTCCTCTGCATTTGATAGCCCAAACCGCAAGCAGAGACAACTTTAAGCAGGCGGAAATATTGAGGAGGTTGAGAGACTGTCGACTCGACTTCCTTATCAAAATGAATTTTTAATTAGCAATAATCAATATTCAAGGAGATGGCTATTTGCCGTTAATAGTTCTATCAAGGATCATAAATACTTCACTTTTTTTTTTATGTCTTTGCAGATATAGTAAATCCCTTACTGCTAAAATGCAATCAGGCAAATCAGATACTATTAATTATGAATTGAACTATTACTGCAATTCCAGCAACTCTCGAACCTCGCATTAGCAAAGTGCATGCACAACACGCTATATAGAGAGTTTTGCTCTCTCCTGATATTTCTACTGGGCAAACGATACAGGGGCTTGTTTCATATGCAGTGTCCGTCCCGCTCTCCGGGTTTCATTTATATCAAAAAGACTCAAATAGGCAGAAAGACAGAGAGCTTCCAGAATACCATATTGTTTCCTCACCTTTCCTTTGTGAATCCGGCCAGCTGAAGAACGTCTCATTAATGTTGATAGTCAAGACTCAGACACAAAGACAGAGGGGAAAAAACAGCAAGAAATGTAGTGGGGTGGATGGTGGTAAAGCGGCAGTCTGGTATACGTGTCTTGCAGTTAACTAAAGGTACACCCCCCCTCCCCGTCTTCCTCCCTCAAACCTCTCTTAGAAAGCCCAGCAGTCACGGTGCATTAGTGCAGTGAGCGGAAAGTCACATAGTTGAGATTTGCACTCCAAAAATAGTCATTAAACATTGTGGCAGTGGCACGGGGTGGCATCTGAAAACCTGGATGCCTGAGGACACCCCCAAATAAATCTTCTCTATACCTTCGACAAGCAGACGGTGGGAAGGAGAGAGGGGTGCTGCAATGGGCTATGTGAGGTATGGAGGATCCTGAAGGAGGCCCACAGGAGAGATGCGTCGCCTGTGGTCTTGCCTTGGGCAGGCCATGCGCAGCACTCAGGTGGGCTGTCAACACGGGGTTGAGAGGAGGGGCTCCCAAAAGCCTAAACCTTCACATAGCAACTTCACACTCCTAAAGATGCAGCCTGGATCTGGTAAACAATCATTGAAGCTTTGAACCTTGAAGACAATAACGTAAGAGGTAAAAGTCATTAGACTGAAGCAATTATCTCAATAGTCTATAAATAATTATCGGTTAAATGTGTTATGTCGACGACCAGTGCCACTTTGAAATGGCTACCAAAATTTGCAATGGTTTACATACAGAAAATGTGATGCTTTTGATGACAGCTGGGCTGTCAATGTAGATTCAAAAAGACATCTTTGTTTTCAATCTCCTCTTACCAGCCAAGGGCAATCATAGTAGATGAGTTGAGACTTCCTATACTTGACCGGGCTGAAGATAGGAGCCTCTGGCAAGTCTAAAAAATGGGAAAACCATACCATCTGTTCACCCCACAATATTCATGCATTCAGCATGCATAAGGCCTGTATAAGACTCTTCATAAAACCGACAACAACAGCGTTCCATCTCTCAATAACGTACATATTTACAAGGAGAGTTGGATCTTGCAAACATCAAAGTCTCTGAGCACTGCTCAGCGGGACATCTGGGGAATGCTGCTCCGGATTCAGCAGGGAGGTCATTATCAGCCCACGTTCACAGACTGGTCTTCATGCGTGAGTCTTTTTAACGTTTGAAAGTTAACGCTGAAACAACAGTTTCAGTTGACTGAATTGTTTTTAGTGGACTCCGGTCACCGCCAAAGTTCTCAGAGAGCAGATATTACTGGGACGATGCTCAACTACTCAGATGACATGAGTTCACTGTGTGCCTGTGCCTCATAAACCATCACGATTCAACAAGTGGAATTTCTGTTCAACATCAAACTAGAAACGGCTTGAATTTCTATATGATTTAGTAGTTTGCAGTATCTGTATCAGTGTGAATTATAGATGGGTTTGAAATTAGTCAAGAATTAAAGTAAAACATTTTTTTTTACTTCATATTAAATAAGAAATATTTCAATCGCATTTACAAATAACAATTTAGTAACCACAAAAGTAATTCCATAATTTCACCTGGTGCAAAAAAAAAACATGCTTGCGAGCAGAAGAGGTGTTCACCTGAGGAGGTAAACATACATAGCAGCAGTAGGGGTACTTTCCATCAGGATAAGTATCGAAAGACTTTAGGTTAAGTAAGAACTGTCATTGTTTATCACTATAAACATTTTTATAAGGTACACTTTATTAGGTATACCTTGCTAGTACTGGGTTGGACCCCCTTTTGCCATCAGAACTGTCTTAATTCCTCGTGGCATAGATTCACCAATGTGCTGGAAACATTCCTCAGAGATTTTGGTCCATATTGACATGATAGCATCACGCGGTTGCTGCAGATTAGTCAGCTGCACATCCATTATGCGAATCTCCCGTTCCACCATATCCCAAAGGTGCTCTATTGGATTGAGATCTGGTGACTGTGGATGCCATTTGCTTATAGTGAACTCACTGTCATATTCAAGAAACCAATTTGAGGTGATTTGAGCTTTGTGACATGACACGTTATCCTGCTGGAAGTAGCCATCAGAAGATCGGTACAGTGAGGTCATAGGGATGGACATGGTCAGTAACAACACTCAGGTAGGCTTTAGCGTTTTAAACGATGCTCAATTGGTAGTAAGGGGCCCAAAGTGTGCAAAGAAATATCCCCCACACCATTACACCAGAAGCAGCCTGAACCGTTGATACAAGGCAGAATAAATCCATGCTTTCATGTTGTTTACACCAAATTCTGACCCTAACTGAATGTCGCAGAAGAAATTGAGATTCATCAGACCAGGCAATGTTTTTCCAATCTTCTATTATCCAATTTTGGTGAGCCCGTGTGAATTGTATGCTCAGTTTCCTGTTCCTAGCTGACAGGAGTGGCACCCGCTGTGTCTTCTGCTGCTGTAACCCATCTGCTTCCAGGTTCGACATGATGTGCGTTCAGAGATGCTCTTCTGTAGACCTCGGTTGTAATGAGTGGTTATTTGAGTTACTGTATCCTTTCTATCAGCTCGAACCAGTCTGGCCATTCTCCTCTGACCCACAGAACTGACTCTCACTGGATATTTTTTCTTTTTCAAACCATTCTCTAGAGAAAGTTGTGCATGAAAATCCCAGTAGATCAGCAGGTTCTGAAACACCAGCCCATCTGACACCAACAACCAGGCCATGTTCAAAGTCACTTACTGTTGATCACCTTTCTTCCCCATTCTGACGCTCAGTTTGAACTTCAGCAGATCGTCTTGACCATGTCTACATGCATAAATAAATAAGTTGCTGCCATGTGATTGGCTGATGTGTGTGTGTGTGTGTGTAATCACATAATATAAACATATTATAATATATAAATCAAAAGAACCTTGAATTTCTTGGCCTGTAAATTCTCTGACACTACATTCAATCCCTAGTTACAACAACCAAATATACAAAAAGCGCAAAAAATAGAATGCATAGCATTCATTAGCTACAAATAAAAAAATCTCTCTAATAGTTCCCTAAATCCCACAGCTCCCTGCACTATAGTGCGGTGAAAGAAAGATGCGAAAGAAAGCCGTCTCCCACAAGTGCTTGTTAGGCCCAAATTATTATTGCAATGAATAATTTTAAAAATAAACAAGTAAATAAATAAAGAAATAAATAAAGGAAACATTTATAGATCTAAGTATTATCAGAGGACCGAAAAGTTTCTTGCTGAGCTCCAGAGGCTTGTTTGAAATTTGCTTTTGTTTTTCACTTTGATCTTTAACAGTTTACCTCTCCTCCAGCACTTCACCTAACCTCCCCACTAATGCGGCATCCCATATTTCATACTGCAATCCTTAGCAGGTTGGACACTTATACATGACATATCTTTAATAACAATAATAATTGCTGTATTCTTAAGCTTACCATGAGTAGAACACACATACAAATTGTCATATTTTGGCATCTACTTTTGCTTACAAATGAGTATATGTATAGGCTGGCCACAATAAAAGGCCACTCTAAAATGTGCAGTTTTACTGTATTGGGGGGGGTCCGGGGGGTCCGAAAACCAGTCAGTATCTGGTGTGACCACCATTTGCCTCACGCAGTGCAACACATCTCTTTCGCATAGAGTTGATCAGGTTGTTGATTGTGGCCTGTGGAATGTTGGTCCACTCCTCTTCAATGGCTGTGCGAAGTTGCTGGATATTGGCAGTACCTAGAACACGCTGTCGTATACACCGATCCAGAGCATCCCAAAAATGCTCAATGGGTGACATGTCCGGTGAGTATGCTGGCCATGCAAGAACTGGGATGTTTTCAGCTTCCAGGAATTGTGTACAGATCCTTGCAACATGGGGCCGTGCATTATCATGCTGCAACATGAGGTGATGGTCGTGGATGAATGGCACAACAATGGGCCTCAGGATCTCCTCACGGTATCTCTGTGCATTCAAAATGCCATCAATAAACTGCACCTGTGTTCGTTGTCCATAACATACGCCTACCCATTACATAACCCCACCGCCACCATGGGCCACTCGATCCACAACGTTGACATCAGCAAACCGCTCACCCACACGACACCATACACGCTGTCTACCATCTGCCCTGAACAGTGAAAACCGGGATTCATCCGTGAAGAGAACACCTCTCCAAAGTGCCAGACGCCATCGAATGTGAGCATTCGCCCACTCAAGTCGGTTACGACGACGAACTGCAGTCAGGTCGAGACCCCGATGAGGATGACGAGCATGCAGATGAGCTTCCCTGAGACGGTTTCTGACAGTTTGTGCAAAAATTCTTTGGTTATGCAAACTGATTGTTGCAGCAGCTGTCCGGGTGGCTGGTCTCAGACGATCTTGGAGGTGAAGATGCTGGATGTGGAGGTCCTAGGCTGGTGTGGTTACACGTGGTATGCAGTTGTGAGGCTGGTTGGATGTACTGCCAAATTCTCTGAAACGCCTTTGGAGACGGCTTATGGTAGAGAAAAGAACATTCAATTCACGGGCAACAGCTCTGGTGGACATTCCTGCAGTCAGCATTCCAATTGCATGCTCCCTAAAAAAAACTTGCTACATCTGTGGCATTGTGCTGTGTGATAAAACTGCACATTTTAGAGTGTCCTTTTATTGTGGCCAGCCTAAGGCACACCTGTGCAATAGTCATGCTGTCTAATCAGCATCTTGATATGCCACACCTGTGAGGTGGATGGATTATCTCGGCAAAGGAGAAGTGCTCACTAACACAGATTTAGACAGATTTGTGAACAATATTTGAGAGAAATAGGCCTTTTGTGTACATAGAAAAAGTCTTAGATCTTTGAGTTCAGCTCATGAAAAATGGGGGCAAAAACAAAAGTGTTGCGTTTATAATTTTGTTCAGTGTATATATATGTGTGTGTGTGTCGTAGCTGCCGGCGAAAATGCAGAAAGAGCCAGTTATGTTAATATCAGGACTACTCACAGTGTATAAATGTGTCACAGTATAAATGCCAAATTTGTATAGTAATATAAAGCGCTTTTGCAGTGTTCGTAATGAATAATGTTGTAATGCTGATTCTGCACAATTTATTTTTTACTATACAATTGGTTCTTTCTGTAATAGAAAAACAAATAAATACAGTGCATTTAGTGATAATTGTTAATCAGTGGTTATCAATGTTACTGCTCATATTTTAAGGTTTGAACAAACTTTTGCACCGTTTGTGCAACAAAATCAAATGATATCTCAGGTCGCGTGACTTGTTGAGGAGAGTTACGCCATTACCCAAACCATATATTACTTTTATTTTTTTATCATATTTAAAACCTGGCCCTTCTGACTTGGGCTAGTAAGCAACCACCCAGAAAGCCAGCAACTGCTT